CTCTTGTATCTCCCATGCTCCTCTGGCGAGCTAAGAAATTGTTTATATCCCTGAGCCTGGCCTTCATAATTCCATTCCATCACAATGGAGGAATGGATTGTAAAGGTGACAGCTGAAATGGCAAAACTGACCTGTTTGTCAGGGATAAAACAAGTACTTTTATAAAAGACTGGAAACCCTTTATGGACTTTTTGCTGAAAATTGAAGGAAGTGAAATGGTGATTTCTGGATTTATTGATTGAAAAAAGGGTTGAATGTGGGATAGAAGGAATTTTTCTAAACTAATTTTAAAGAGGGAGGAGGGATAATTAGTTTATCTGTAACTGCTGTAAAGAAGATCGGAAGCCGCTTCTTTAATTTTATCTTTTTCTTCTCTTCTTCTTCTTTCTCTAATTGTATTGTTTCTTGCACTTTTTCTTTTATTTTTTCTTCTCACTTTTCTTAATATATTTTCATGTTTATCTATGTAAAAATTTACTGTAATAATTGTTGGCATTGCTTTCAATAATCCCTTCATACTCACTGCAGCCTGAGAAGATTAATTTTCTTTTCACAATAATAACCATGGCTTTTGCTGTTATTATTACTTTGGTTGAAGAAGAGCTTTCTATAATATTTTACTTGAATACTGAATAGTTTCAGTAACATGATCTCTGATTGGATGGCATTCTCAGAGCTCAGACCTTGGCTAGCTCAGTCTGTGCAGTTATTACCTGGAGATGCTGTCTGTAAGTTCCCAACTCACAAGCATATAAACATCACCATGCTAAATGCATTTCCAGTCAGCAGATGATGAGTAGTTATGAGGGAAATATAGGTTGTTTTTAAAGTGCATTGGAAATTATTAGGCACTAGAACAGCTAGCAATGTAGCAGCAGTTATAATATATTATTTAAACATTGCCTTTCTTGTAAAAACCATAAGTTTTTGGATCTCAGCGATAACCACAAAAGAGGCAACATTGTTGCTTACAACTGGGTAAAAATGTCCAAGTTATATAAATGGGGAAATTAGTTAGGGGAATGGATAATTTATATTCATATTAAGAATAGATTAAAATTGGCTAGACTTCTAGGATCTTTAAGAAAAACATAATGAAAGTGTAACCTTCACTGTCATATGTGGTGAGAAATTCAGCCAAGAAAATAGCTACAAATCTAGCTTGACTGTAGTCTCCAAAGTTGTTTTAAATGTTCATTTTAAGATTAACTCTGGTATCATTGAACTTGCTTCATACCTGTTTTTTTTCCCCCCCTCTAGAAATATGTGCAGAGACCCACTGCTCTGTTTTAAAAAGGAATACACTATTTCAAAAATGTCATTCTGCGGTGAATCCAGAACCATTTTTCAAGGTAGGGACTTTTGCATTCTCAGGAGACAGCTGCTAGACGTTAGATGATGAAATGCATGACAGGTTTCAGTAGTAACTGTTATTTGGGATTTGATATTTTTGCACATTTATTTTAACTAATCTTCACCATTTCAGCACACATTGTTTTATGAGCTTGTGTGATCTAAGAAAGCAAGGTGAATTAGACAAGAAGGCACAGCAAGGGAATAGCAGGAACAATAACTCTTTTACATGCAGAAACTATCCCACTCCATCAAAGAAAAAGGGTCAGGATATGTATGGGAAGAAATCCAGTTGCAAAAAGCCATGCAGACCTACTTCTTCTCCTGCATGTTATGATGCAGACATTTTGCTGAGGTTCCTGAGGTTACCCAGAGATTAGGCAGAGACAGAGCATAGAAAGGCAGAAATTAACCACACTGGGTAGTCCACTCCATAATAGCATCAGGAGACAGAACAGACTCCTCTATTCCACTGGATGTTCACTATAAAGCATCTTTAAACTGATTTATGGCTTCTGTAAAATTCAAAACCATTTTAGTGATAAATAGCCTCTTTTTCTCCAAAGGCCAAGCTAGTTTTTTTTTAAAAGATAGTCAACTCAACCAAACAATATTTCTTATCTTTTCTCTTTTCCCCTTCTTAAAAAAAAAAAAATGTAGCAATGAGCAGAACTTCAGCTCTGTTCTCTTTATATCCAGGTCAGCAATTATTAACATCCTTAGAGGATGTTTTTTTACCATCCTTTTCTCTAGATATGCTAAATTAATATATAATATTGGTTGCAACTTTGGTTAACAAAACATTTCTCATGTGTGCGAGCATGCCTACTGATGGCATTTGTCTCATCATAAACTAATTAAGAAAACAGAGAGACAGAATGAAAGTAACTTAAATGATACAATATAAAAGTCCTTGCTTTAGGGCGCTTCCCAAAGCTTAATGGAAAAAAAAAAAACCAGTCCATTCACCTCCCTCTCCCTCTGCACACATATACAGAACTCAAGGATCCACAGTTTCCCTGAGCTTGCTCACATTTCCCTGCACTTTTAACAATCCTTTCTGGAGAGGTTGTCTGGTGACCTTTGAGCAATCTTCCGTATCTGGGACTTGGTCCTTAAGGAAAAATGTCCACCCCCACCCCAGGTCAATTAATTATCCATGTATGTTTAGTCCGAAGAGAATCCCAGTGACGACTAGCTTGCTCCCAGATAAATGGGTTTGGGATTGAAGCATTAAAGACTTGTTCTTTCCATATCTGGAATGTCATATTCTGAGCTGTGAAATAATTTATCAGGATAATAAGGCAAATTTGTAGTCTGGGCTGGAGAATAACCAAGTTTTGCTAGACCACTTCAGGAAACACTGCACAGGATGATGAGTTTATGCTTAAAATAGATCATCTGAACTGATATATGATTTCTGTCTGAAACTACTTGACATTTACTGTGCCTATATGACTTATAACAGTAAAATTCCAATAAAAATACAGTTCAAAGTAGGTGATTTGTCTTACCTTCAGCATTTTGTCAGCGCTCCCACCAAATGTTACTAAACCAGACTTTCATATTCTTGATGAATATGTCTATATTGAATATGTCTATATGAATATGACTATATGAATAGTCAAATAAGCCCTCCAAATACACTTTATTGCTTTTATCAATTCTACCAATCTTTTAACTGTGGGTATACGTTGCTGGATTTTTATAACTAAGAGTTTAGCCCTTTTGGAAACTGAGTCTGAGAAATATGGAAGAAAATAATATTTTAAATTTCTGAATATTTGTGTATTTTCAGAAAATGACTGTGGGAAAAAATGCCAGTTCATATTACTGAAATGCCAAAATGTGCCTTCTAAATTACAGGAAAATCAATATTTTGGAGTACATCAAGAAATCTTTCATTTAGTATACCATCAGAACCCATAGACAAAGTTTCATTTTCATATTCTGAATACCTTCTTTATATTGGAATACGGGGGTACTGTATTCCTCTGTGAAATGGGGACTTGTGTAAGGACAGAGAACTGCTTCAGAGTAGTTTTCTTTGTGCAGTAACAAAAAAAGTCACACCTGCACACTCCAGTGTTATACACCTGTATCTGAACTAGTTCTTGTGTTCCAGTATTCAAGATTTCTGATCCATTGCTGACTAAGTGCAACTTGTTTTCAGAGATGTAGATATCAGGCATGTAACTATGAGGAAACCTTTCCATATATTTGTTCTGTTCTGGGTTCCTATGCCCGTGAATGTGCTTCAAAGGGAATAATTCTTGGGGATTGGCGCAGTACTGTCGACAATTGCAGTAAGTAGCCTCCATATTATTTTAAACTATGAGAATTCCCTACTTCACTAATATGGTTTAAATATCGAGTGCTAAATACAGCTGATCCAGTCTAGGTAGTCTAAGTAGTAGTGGATCTTGCAATTCTTCCCATATAATCAAGGTTTATATTTGTTGTTCTCATATTATCATGCTCACATGAGCAGTTTGAGAAAATTACTGTCAGGCTTCAATAGTCCTCTGAAATGCTCCAACTTCACTTCCAGCTCCTGCATGCTCAGTAGTTCACTAGGGAAAGAACAGTAAGAGTCTGGCTAGATTCACATCATGAATGAGCTTGTACACATAGGGTGCTAAGACATTAGGTGGTTGGTTTCACCGGTTGTGCAAACCCAGAGAACTGGGAATTATTTAGTAAGATGCAATTAAACAACAATCTGAGCATGGTGTAAAAGAGAGATATTTGTGTCACTGAATTTCCAACTGATGTCTTATGTAAGAGAGAAATGGGGTCATTGAAAGTTTCTGAGCATCCAAAGCTAATTATACTGTTTATATCTGCAGCCATTTCTTGTACTGGAAATCAGACATTCAGCTACAATACAGAAGCTTGTGACCGGACATGCCTGTCCCTCTCCAGCAGAGAACTTGAATGTCACCCCACTGATATTCCCATTGATGGCTGCAATTGCCCAAAAGGAACCTACCTGAACCACAAAAATGAGTGTGTCCGGAAATCTCAATGTCCTTGCTACCTGAAAGGCAGAAAGGTCATTCAGGCGGATCAATCAACCATAATTGGTGGAGCTACCTGGTAAGCCTCTGGTGACATCTTTCTGTTAACATTTTTCCACATCAGTTGAAACATGGTTGTTGAATGCTAAACTACTGTAGAAGGAAGGAAGGAAATTATATAGCTTCTCATAAATGATTCAGGCTTAGACTTTGAGTAAGAATTCTTGAATCTAAATACTTTGTAAGAGTATTTTGATATGCCTTTTCTTTTCTAGCTACTGCATTAATGGAAATCTGACTTGTATCGGCAGACCAATGAGCTTCTCAGGTATGCATCTCATTAAACTTTCTTTTCCAGAGTATCCCTTCCCCTATATTATAAAAATATGACATTGTCTTATTTCCCTTTGCAGAAATGTGCAGGCCTCCTAAAAGGTACATTTCATGTTCAGCCCACTCAGGAAGCAAATATGGGGCTGCTTGTGCACCAACGTGTCAAATGCTGGCCACTGGAACCAACTGTGTGAGTCAATACATTTCTAATGCTTAAGGGCTATCAAAAGCATGCGAGAGATTGCAGTAGTTCTGTGATGAAATGTCCTCATGAAACGTTACATCTTTACAGGCCACACCAAAGCTCAACCCATGAAATGAAATGTATATTCTTGGAATGTTGATAACGAACTTCTGAACCTCACACTATGTTCCACTGTGCAAAACAAAATGATCATAAGTACAGAATAATAGCAGCAACATTTCCCAAGAACCTAAATAATCACAGGAGACAGCAGGAATGTCACTTCAGCTACCACCGCTTTGGGACTGAAGTCGAGCCTCCAGTCTAGTTGGTTCCTTATGGGTGATGTGATACTCATGTTTCCCTAAATGAAAGAGACAAAAACCCTCCTGCAGTTGATTAATATCAATGGGTCTAGGGCAGATAGGAGCTATTTCACCTCAGGAGACTATAACTCTTGCCCTCACAAGCAAAAGAAATGAGCAATGTTCTGCCCCCTTCCCATCCTGCAGCAGAACAGAAAGCAGATCTACAGCATGAGAGCCACTACAGCCTGTCTGTATAGCTCATGTGAATTTGGGGGCTGCAATTCTAGACCCCTTTTGCTGGGAGCAAGGCCTACTAAATTCAGTGTGTCACACAAATAAGCAGAATTGCACTGTATACCTCATTCCCCCAGTCTCAGTATGTACCCTTCTTTTAGTCTTGTGCCTGAGATCTATTAATCTTCACAATTCCAAAGCAACCATCTGGTATAATGGTTAAAATGTTGGATTGGCACTGGAGAGATCCAGGTTCAAGTCCACCCTCAGCCACAGAAGCTCACTGGGTGACTTTGGGCCAGTCACTCCCTCTCCAGCCCACCTACCTCACGGGGTTGTGGAGGGAGGAAATGGGAAGAGGAAGCAGTATATATGTTGGCTTGAGCTCTTGCAAAAGGCAGAATAGAAATCTAAGGAATAAGATAAATAAGGAATAAGTAGCAAACTGATCAAAGCATATGGACATAGATGCTCTTTATATGGTATCGCAATGATGTGGAATGTAAGATTCATAAAAGAATATAGCCCAATGGCCCAACTGTATGAAAGAGCCATTGTCAAGGAATTGTTATGCATACACTTCTGGACCTGTTCTTTTCTATGGGAAAGATGAGGAGAAGTGGGATCATATGTTCATCTACTGTATAGTATCATGTACATTCTCCCTGACCCATGAATGGTTTTCATAAATCACCATCTCTTATGCAGCTGGGGTAATGTATAAAGAATATCACTTATTTTCACTGATAATTAATTGCCCCAGTGACACTGTAGTATCAAGCAATATTTGTATTTGACAAACTTTATGAGGACTGTTGACTTGATCCACAGCTTTAAAATTGGGAAAGACTGAAAAAGATGAACAAGTCCTTCTAAAAATCTTAATTAAAGCAACATTTGGAAAACTGTTTACTTTTTAATTTCATAAAATCTAGCATCAATCTTGTTATTGGATTTCTGAGAGTTCACCAACCCACCACATGTTTATAATAATGCTATTTATAGTTATCATATAATAGCTTAAAGCAATCATGAAGAAGCTGACTGTACTCAGTGTGTCTAAAAAAACACTCAATAGTTCAGTAAAGCTAGGTGTATCCCTGCTATGGGTACCCTCAGTTTTCCATATGCTGTTCTATATGTCTGATCTTTTCCAGATCCCTACCAAGTGTGAATCAGGATGTGTTTGTGCATCTGGACTATATGAGAAGCTAGATGGTACATGCGTGCCTCCTGAGGAGTGTCCTTGTGAATATGGTGGCATTTCATACGCAAAAGGAGAAAATATTAACACTGAATGCAGTACATGGTAAGACGTTCTTGTTCCGTTCATTTGCATCCTTGGCCAAATTCTGCAAGAGTTCAGTTAACGGTTCATATGCCTAGAAAATGTCACATCTCAGCTTCTATACAGTTCATTACGCTCCAGCTAGTGAAGCATCGCTAATTGAATATGTAACCTTAGAAAATAAAATTAATATCGTACGAAGGCCTCAAGGAAATTGTTTTTACAAAGCAACATGCAAACTTTTTATCCATCTGAAATCTTTCTAACAAGTACTTTATGTCTCATCAGTACCTGCACAAGAGGAAAATGGAAGTGTGTTCAGAATTCCAGGTGCTCTTCAACATGTAGTCTTTATGGGGAAGGTCACATCACTTCTTTTGACGGACAGCACTTTGCATTTGATGGCAACTGTGAATACATATTAGCCATGGTATTTTCACTTTTATTATACCTTGCATACCTGTGGATAATGTCCTTGAAAAGATGGTAATTGAACATGCTCAAATTAATAGAACATTTTAAATGGAGGCCTGTGGTCTGGAGTGAGTATTGAGGGAAAAAAACATTCTGAAATACTTAGGCCCATCCTTTTAAAGTAGGGTTAGAGGGAGCCTTTATATCAGGATGCCACAGCCTGTGGCTCCAGAGCTAATGTGACTCCGTGGATACAGTGCCTCCAAAAATGGCCACAGAATTGTAACTGTTCACATGACGGACAGGAAAAATTATTAAGTACATGGTGAGGAGCCTAGTTATATTTAATTAATTCAAAATAAAATAGAATTTAATGAAATCACATTTTGTTGTTGTCCTTAATCCAACCTATGTCCTGACCTTAACCAATTTTTTAGTGTAGACCTTCGCACTGAAAAAATGTAATGTACCCCAACTTTATATTATTAGCTATCTGATTCCCACTTCTGGATTTGCCAACAAGAGTTTTTCCTGCCAATAAAAAAACAGTATCAAGGTAGATGCATTTTCACAGAAAAGCTAACCTATAGAAGCAACCCTTTCATCACCTAACATTTTTGTGTAGCTTTCACTGTACAAGACACATTGCATTTTTATTGTAAAGTGTCATTCCTACATTAAAAAATGATGTAGACAGGAGTTGTAATGAAATTCAAAGAGCACTCTGCCAGTATCTCCTTTCCACTTTAATTCCCCTTCCAGTAGTCCACACATCAGATCCTGATATTTTTATATATAGGGAGTGCTTTATATATAGGGAGAAAAAGAAAAGAGATTAAAATTATGTTGAGCATTAAGGAGGTGACCTTATACATCATTAAAGGAAAACTGGAAATACCTTCAGAAAAAAGGGAGAATGAATGAGATCTACCCACAGTGATAATTGATATCTGTGTATTTAGACACGATTGCTATCATTTAATTAGATAAAAATGGATCTTAGAGTAGCAGAAAACATTTTGCCCAAGCAGGCTTGAAAATAAGGCAACTTCAGTCTTCCAGTAGTTTCTCATATTTCCTTATCTTTAAGTTGGATCTGAATGAATCAACCCTTCAGAGAATGCCTTCAAAAACAGGAGCGTCCTCTGACAGCCCTATAGACAGAGACATATGCTAGGAGATGTGGTTACCTAACCTGAACCTTATATAAAAAAAACCCCAGTGCAAAGCTTGATTAATATCATGGGTAGACCAAATATCCTTCAGTCTGTTTGTGTCTAGGATTCCAAAAGCCTAAGAGGGTCTATTAATTCATTGCATATGTTTTGCTACCGTGAATAATCTAATTATTATCTGGCTGTGCATTCCTTCCTAGGATGGTTGTGACATGGCTAAATCCCCCCATACATTTAAAATAGTGACTGAAAATGTTGTCTGTGGAAATACTGGGGTCACATGTTCCAGAGCAATCAAGATCTATCTTGGGGTAAGAACATTCTATAGTTGCTATTATGCGCAAGAAAGAGATTTGTGTGGTGGGTGAACGAGCTGAGACTTAAGAGAGATAAGAGAGAAGAACTATTTGTTAGGAGGGAAGCTGATAGAGGATTAATCAGCAGTGTATTTTAAATGAGGTTGCCCTCAACTTGAAAGAATCGATCTACAAGTGCCAGTGACTTGAACCCCACTCATCCCTGAATGACCAGTTGTGATGAGAAGTACTTCTTCAAATCTTGGGTTGGTTGCCAGGTGCCCTCTTTTTCTAGACCAATCAGATCTGTCCACTGTGATATATTTGACACGTAGAAAGAGCTGCCTTATAGCAAGTCAGATTATTTGTCCATCTACCAATACAGTCTACTCTATGGCAGCAACCTTTTCTTTCCACCTCCTCTTTAATTCTTTTTTACTGAAGGTCCCTGAGATTGAATCTGATTATTCTGCACTCTGTGATCGAGAGGTGATCCTCTCCTCACGTCCAGGCATATTCAACTTGGTTTATTGCAGAGTATTCTCTCTTGGGCTGGGGATGTTGAGAAGCGTTTAAATGTTTTATACAGTACAAAAGGAGTTTTACATTTTAACCTAGAGAAATCATATCGTTCCACTTTGTGCTTTGTGTCTAATACGGTTCTGAGAGCTGTTCAAAGTGCTGCTTTAAGTGTTCTTGACCATCCATAGAAGCTTATGATTCTTCTGCCCACCCACTGAAGGATTTGGTTCTGCTTTATTCCACCCCTCCGACTTGAAATTTCACCAATAAGACACAGGTTTTGCAACTTTCTCCTTCAGAAAGCCTGACTATGCTTCTCAGTTATAGTGATTCAGATATTGAAAGCCTGCAAATCTGGTTTAGGTTTGCTCCCAATTTCCTGCCATTGCTAGCAGTTACACTGCTTTATTATTTTATTGTGCTCTGTATCTTATACTTAGACCTGACACTGTTGTCGTTGTTGTTTTTCATTTCCATGTCATTTCTTGGCAGAACCTGACAATCATCTTGGCAGATAGAACATTTACTGTTTATGGTAGCAATCCTCGGACACATTTCTTCATAGAAGAGAATACGCTCCACTTGATTATTCAGATCACAATCCCTGGCAAATATAATATGACTCTGATCTGGAACAGGAACATGAATTTATTCATCAAGCTTTTCAGAGAAACAAAGGTAATGGGAAATAGATTCGTCATAAATTTTTCAGGCTTATTTTCCGGGGGAGAGTAACAGATATTCCCCAGCTTCATGCATTAAAACCAAACCTTGTCATTTGGACATCCGAGGTATACATTCTCACCTGCTTGACAGTAAAAAGCAACAATAAAACATTAAATAACAATTGGGTGTCCTTTCATTATGCAGCTAATCAGTTCCTGAAGTTTTGTACTCTTCTTTAACTCTCTCAGAAAATGAATTTCTGGTGGCATATGTATACAATTGAATAAGTAATCAGAGTATCATGATATGATCTTCTAGATATCATAAGCTGAAAGCAGAAATCAGGCAGATGCAATTGCTGGTTTTGCACACCATGTTAAAGCTTTTTTTTTTTTTTTTGCTTTGGCCTAGCATAATGTGTGAATCTATCTGGTGGTTTTCAAATCATAGTTTTTGGCTTAGTATTATGATCAATGCTACTGTGGCTTGGTTTGTACTTAACAAATCCACAGCATAGTGCAATGTGATAGAATCTTGAGTTCTACCGTTTATTTTCTAGGATATACTTTTAAAGGCACACCAAATACATAGGCATGTTTTCTCTGCTCAGATCTACCCTCAATTGCTTTTCTTTGTGAGAGGAGAAAGATGCAGGTTTCTATATCTTTTCTCTGTGAAGGGAAGCAACTGGGAAGATAATTTTAAACAAATAAATGGGTGACTAAAAGGGAGGTTAGCCAGTTTCTCTTGTTTTCACTGCCGCTACCACTGGCTATTATCTACACAACATGAAATTACCAGTGTCTCTTTTGCATGTAAGAAAAGACATGCTTCTCATGAGTCAGTGCAGTTTTCACAGCTGATTTTATTCTATTTTACTCTAGGACCATCTTTGTGGTTTATGCGGTAATTACAATGGAAACATAAAAGATGATTTTGAAACACGGAGTAGATACACAGCATCCAACGAATTTGAGTTTGTCAATTCCTGGAAAGAGAATCCTCTCTGTGGAGATGTGTTCTTTGTAGCTGATCCATGTAGCAAGAACCCCTATCGCAAAGCGTGGGCTGAGAAACAATGTTCTGTTATCAACAGTCAAGTATTTGCCCCCTGTCACAGTAAGGTAAATGCCTACATAGACACCTCTTTAATATATCCTATGCTACTGTACAGTATTAACATAATTAGCATCCATTTTTCTTACAAAGGCTTTCAGAATCCTGCTTCTGCTTTCTTTACTTTGAATTCCAACAAATACTTCCAACACTCATTTAAAATTAGCAAGCTTTTAAAATTTGGTTAATAAATTTTATTCCATTGGTATATGATTCCTTAAGATACTGCTCAGCGCTCAGCACTAAGACCATAATATTTTCAGAATTAAAATGTTTATATATACACCTGTAAAGGGAAATGTATGGTTTTTTCCTGAATACTTTCTCACTTCAATAGTTAACTTTTATGTATAAAAATATTATAAGATTAGATTCCTAAATAAGAAAGTAATTGATTATTAATGGCAGCAGAGGCAAAAATAGGCAATCTGATCGTTATTTTATGATAGAAACACGTAACAAAGAAAATTGTCTTTAAAAAATCATACAGATTTTATTTATTTATTTATTTATTTATACATTACATTTATATTTATATAGCCGCCCATCTCACACAAAGCAACTCTGGGCAGCATACAACAATGAAAATAACAAATGAATAAAAACAAGTATTAAAAGATTTTAAAAATTATTATTAGAACAAAAACCTTATCACACATTTTAAAAAATAGATTTTAAAATATACAAACCCCACAGAGAGAGCAGAATATCAATTACAGTGGAGCCATCTAAGAATGTCTCCAGTTCCCAAAGAACCCCAGGCCTGATGACACAGCCAGGTCTTGAGCAACCTCCTAAAGGACAGCAGGGAAGGGGCAAGCCTCACTTCAGTGGGGAGAATGTTCCACAAGGAGGGAGCCACAGCAGAGAAGGCCCACCTCCTGGGACCCACC